AGAAACATTTCTGATTATTATCAATGTTGAACACAGTTGTGCTGCACGATATTTCTGTGATGCATTTTATTTTTCAGGATTCACAGATGAACAGCATTTATTTGAATCTTTTGAAACATCATAAATGTCTTTACTGGCATGTTGATCAATTTAATGCAGCCTTAATCTTTAAATATCAGCCTGTCTGTCACTAGTTGCATAACTTTAGTCCCTGTTGTTCCCGTTTTTAACCTCTTCTTCTCCAGTACCCAGTGCGTCCTGCTTCGATGAGCTATGATAATGCGGCGCATTTGGCAGCCAGAATTAAACCCAAGCAGCAGAAAGTAAGCAGGCTTTCACTGCTCGTTTCTGACGTCTCTCCTATCTGACCGCGCAGAGGTCACGTTTCGTTCCTGTCTACTTCCAGGTTGAGCTCGAGGTGGCCATGGACACCATGAGTCCGAACTACTGCCGCAGTAAAGGCGAGCAGATCGCGCTCAATGTGGACGGCACGTCTTCGGAGGACCCCAGCGTCTACTCGATGTGAGGGACATCAGTCTTTCTGCTGCTTACAGCCGGACCTTGCTGTTCGTAGTTTTAATCCTTTCCTTCTGCTTAAAGGAAAATGATGGACAAGCAAACGTTCTCCTCGATCCAGGCGACCACGAACACGTCCCGCTTCGCTGCGGCTGTGTTTCACAAAGGTTGGCTTTCGCAGGATCTCAATTAGCATGTGTTTGGCTGGGCGGTATATCGAGTTTGTACGATATATGGATGTTTTCTTTATAAGCGATTCGACATGAGGCGATACCGTTTACAGTAGTTTGATACGAGCGCATCGGGACACAGACTGAGCTGCTGCGGAGACAGTGCATGATCCAGTTTGTTCTAAACATATGACAAGCTTCACATTAAGGCCACTGGTAAGATTTAGTTTATAGCTTCGTTTCGCATATTAGTTTATTAGTCATATGCTCTGACAGAAAGGCTTCTCGCGCTGTTTAATGTGTCTGAGATGTGCCGTCTTCCTGAATGCAGAACTTACATTTCACAGGTATATTCTCCGTCTGTAAATGTTAGAAAGCCATGGAAATATTTCCATTTTTCTGTCAGGAGTGCACGAGCCTTCTGGGATTCTCTGCTAAACTTCACAGACTTCAGTGAAACAGACAGAGCTCGATTAAATAGGAGCGCAATAATTCTGACTAAAATATACATTTTGCTGAAATATATGTAGTTGGACAATAAATGTGACGTGTAGAGTTTTAAACTTACAAGTAAGTCTATTTTTATGATAGCACTGACTGTAAAGTGACTGTAATAACACAACTCTGTGCTTTTGTTCACATTTATTTTCATTTTTAGTTTAGTGAATTTAACTTCCGATTTAAAAGCCTTATTTTAGTTTTTAGATTGCGATGTTACAATGTTAGAATGAAATGTGATGCACATGATATAAACGCTTACATAGTTACATTCACTTTATTTGTTTTCATAGCCTTTAATGTGTATTGTTTTGCTGGAAACATTGGGTGGGAAGTGAAATATATATATATTAAATACAGATTTTTAAAATCCAAATGCAAAAACGAAAATACCGAGATATATACTGAATATCGCAAATCGGCCAAAAAATACAGAGATATGAATTTTTGCCCATAACGCCCTAATGTGCTGTGCTGTGCTGTTTTGGTGGCAGGAGAGCTTCATCTCACGCCACTGCAGGGAGTCCTCCAGATGAGACCCAGCTTCAGCTACCTGGATAAAGCTGATACTAAACATAGAGAACGAGAGGCAGCCAACGAAGGTACGGGGTGTTTTGGGGTCACTTGTGTGGGTTTTTTTCTTCTAAATTTGCTCTTACAGGGTAAATGAAGATTGCACTTATTTTTCTTTTTAAAATCAAATTATCACAAATAGTAATAAGAGTGTCTATGATGAACTTATGCCGAGTTCTTAGAAAACGTCATACTCATTTTGTTTTTTAAATTCAAATACAGATTTTATTTGTCGCTCTCACAATTGTGCATAGTACAGTGTGCATTGAAATGCTTTTTTTGAACTCTCTGCACATACAGTAAAAAATAAACAAGTATACAGAAGAATAACATGGTAATAAAATCTATTCAAACAAAATCAACATATAGAGATATTAGACGTATACACGTTATTGCATACGTGTAAAATGAAAAGTATATGATTTTGAAAAAATTTTACACAATTTTCCAGAAAGGTTTTAATTTAATAACTAAAAATGACTGAGAAATTAAAAAGTACGTACATATTTGAGCATACACATTGTTATTTTCAAAAGAAATTTAAATGCATTTTTGTATGTCAAGGTCAGATACATATATATATAGATGTTTCATCTTTGATAAAATGTCATTGCCGAGTGCTTCGTCATAATTGTTGTCAACAACTAACGAGTGCGTGGGTTTGCAGCTGGAGACTCTTCTCAGGACGAAGCAGAAGAAGATGTTAAACAGATCACTGTAAGACTTCATGCAGTTGTTTTCTTTGTTTTTGGCAAGTAGAGAATAAAATGCCTGGTCCTGCTCATCGCTCTTATTGTTGACTTGTGCTTTAACCAGGTGAGGTTTTCCCGGCCCGAGTCTGAACAGGCCCGTCAGCGCCGCATCCAGTCCTATGAGTTCCTGCAGAAGAAACAGGCTGAAGAGCCCTGGGTTCACCTGCATTACCACGGTATAAAGGTGCGTGTGATCATGTGACCCGCCGCAGCACGCTTCACTGACACTGTAAATCAGATCAAACAAACACATGACATTTGCATCATTTGTTACACTTACAAAGACTTTAAAAGTGAAGAATGCAAGACGTTGATTTTAGTATTATAACTTGTAGTGCAAAGTAGGGCTGTATAACCATATAGTTGTATTTTTACCATGGTATTGAGGTGCTATATGTGTGGTTTTAACTGTGTTTATCATGATTTAAATCTATGCTGCTATGGGAGACCAATGCTTAATTTAAAAAAATAAATAAATACGTGGTCAGAATAAATGTAACCATATAAAACTGAGGTTGCTACAATTTTTTTTACAGATGTTACTGATTTTGATTATGAACAAAAATGTACCTCTGCATCCTAACTCGAGCTGCTATCAAATGTGCATTTCTAAGAGACGAAAAGTGGTATTATTATTATTAATATTATCAGGCAACCCAAGCCTGTTTCTTGATTTGAAACAATATCGCTCATTAGAACATGCTGAAATTTAGAAATTAATTTTTCTGTTTAGATATATATTTTGTTAAGGAAAATTAACGGTCTGGTTTCTACAACTTTCACTTTGGAGCAAAAAATCTGGCTTTACTCTTAAAAGAAATCAAGATTTGACATTTATCGTGATAATTTCTTTTGGCCATATCGCACAGCCCTAGTGCAAAGTAAAAATTGTATTATATTATGAAATACTTTATTTTACAGTACAATTGTAATTTATAACAGTAATGTATTTCTGTATTTATTTATTTTTTTAAACTGTGAATGTTTGGAACAAGGAAGTGAAATGTTTATCTCATTATTGAAATATTAGCATAAAATCTCTGGGACTTCAAGTAATGTTTGGTTTTCAATATTTGATCATATCAAATCTATTTAATTTAATTATAGTGTTAATTTGTCAATGGTTAATGTATTTCTGTGTTAATTTCCAGTGTATTTCTGTCTTAAATTACAGTTAAACCTAATAATAATAGTTATTATTATATGATTATAATTAGGGTTGCAAAAAGGTGGAAAATTTCCAGTAAATTTCGGAAACATTCCAGGATTTTTTGGAATATTCCAGGGATTTTTGGAAAGTTTCCAGAAATGTTCTACCCCTTTGCAACTCAAATTCTAATAATAATAATAATAATAATAACAGTAAAAATAATTATGACCGGATTTAAAAAAAAAAACATTTGGAACACGAAAGTGAAATTTTATCTCATCACAGTTCAAATCGCAGAACTATAGAATTAAGACATTCAAATAAAATAAATTGTTTACTTGCATGTCATGCGAACGTTAACCGACATCAAAGAACTGCAAACGCATCGAATTAAATGTGGAACTGCAAATGTGTTAAATTATTGCAATATTAAATTTAAAATCCCATCTAATATGTTTTAGCTCACAAAAAAGTTGGGAAATCATTCAGTATATATTATATTCCTTATGCATTCTCATTAATTGTGATTCTATCTTTAGGACGGACGTTCTGAGCACGAGCGCCAGTATCTTTACTGTCAGGCCATGGATGCCACAGAGAACACAGAACTGGTGAAAACACCGTGGTTAGTGTCTGCTTTTACCCTCGAGCACTGGAGCATCCGTCTGTCACATACCTGTGTGTTCACCTGATGTGTTTGTTCTCTCCTCAGTGAATATCTGGCCATGCTTATGCCTCCACTGGCTGAAGAGAAAGTGTAAGTAGAAGAACAAACAGGTGGCTGTATTTTCCCCATGTTCCCCATCTTATGCCGTCTCGTCCTCTAGCATCAAGCCCATGGGTCCCAGTAACGTGCTCTCAATGGCCCAGCTCCGCACGCTGCCTCTGGGTGAGCAAGTCAGGACGCTGATGAAGAACGGTGAGCTTGGGTTACGTCTCTGTTCATCTCTGCAGGTCTTAAAGTCTTAATTCACTCTTCCACAAATCAAGGCCTTAAATCAGAATTCATTAAATGTTGAATGCACTGCAAAACATGAATATCTTCCTCCGTGTTTTTGTTTTCCAGTGCAAATATCTGAACGTCAAAACATTAAATCAAGATGTAAATGTAAAATGTCTTGAGAAAACTGAACAAAATGAGTTTGAATTACGTTGATTCTTCTAAAGCCCGTTGGCCGATATTTGTTCTTAATTTCTGATTAGCTTCTTAGAAAACAAGACTTTATATCTCAAGTGAATGCATCTTAAAGGGGACATATCATGAAAATCTGACTTTTTCTGCATTTAAGTGCTATAATTGGGTCCCTGGTGCATCTACAAGCCCAGACGACGTGAAAAAGGACAACCCAGTAACTTTTTTTTTTTTTTCAAGCATGTCAAAAAACGAGCCGCTCAGATTTCGTTCCCCTAGTGACGTAAGAAGGGGATCTTATTATAATATCTCCGCCCCTTAATCTGCATGTTTTGGTGCTGCTGTTACTTAACATACAGATCTACTATAAACATGCGATTTCTTTCCCAGCTGTTTACCTTCACAGACATAACCCACTGTGTTTGTGTAACCTATGTGTGTTTTAAACATACACGTTTGTGTATTTGACAGTTTAAGCACAATAAGACATGAAAGAGAACTTACTTTAGTACTGAAGTGCTGTGTGACCGCCGCTTCTGTGCGCTCAGAAAACACTAGTTTAAACCGATATGGCTTTAAAACGCATGATTTCAGCACGATAGACATGATGATAAAAACTAAACAGATGTTTTTTTGTATTTGAGGTACTAGGCTCCGCCTTACTCTGGAAAAGGGGGCGGGGAGCATGAGCTCATTTGCATTTAAAGATACAGGCACGAAAACAGCGTGTTTCTGCTTCCACTCAAAACAGGCATTTTCAAAATGATATAATAAATGATCTGTGGAGTATTTTGAGCTGAAACTTTTTAGCACTGGAAAACAAAACAGAGGAAGAACATCTCTTTTTTTTGTGGTGTGATCAGAAGGTAAATTCATTGTGTTCCCGCTAGACATTTACATTCAGAGAATTTAGCACTGGAAAACAAAACAGAGGAAGAACATCTCTTTTTTTTTTTGTGGTGTGATCAGAAGGTAAATTCATTGTGTTCCCGCTAGACATTTACATTCAGAGAATGCAGCGAGGTATTGTTTTGCCTGCAGAAACCCTGTGTATAAATGTTTTCCTTTGCTCGTAGTCAAGGTGATGCCGTTTGCCAATCTGATGGGGCTGCTGGCCTCGGGAACGGACTCCACCGCAGTACTGCGCTGCATCCAGCAGGTGGCGCTGCTCGTCCAGGGAAACTGGGTCGTGAAGAGGTGCGCTGTTTGTTTCCTTCCTACATTAAGTCGATGTGTGATGTTCGAGTAGATGCTGAAGTTCTGTGGTTTGCGTCTTTGGCAGTGATGTGCTGTGTCCCAAAAACACCTGTAGCTCACACAGCGGCGTTCCTGCCGAAGTGCTCTGTCGTGGTCGAGACTTTGTGGTGAGCTTCATTTATATTTCTCCTTTATTTTGATTTTCGCCACATGATTGTATCATACAATTACAGATATTGCTGTCATTAGCTATTTGTGACCCTGGAGCACAAAACCAGTCATAAGGGTCAATTTGTTCGAAATTGAGATTTCTGCATCAGCTGAAAGCTGAATAAATCATCTTTCCATTGATGTATGGTTTGTTAGGATCGGACAATATTTGGCTGAGATACAACTATTTGAAAATCTGGAATCTGAGGGTGCAAAAAAATCTAAATATTGAGAAAATCATCTTTAAAGTTGTCCAAATGAAGTTCTTAGCAATGCATATTAATAATCAAAAATTAAGCTTTGATTTATTTACGGTAGAAGATTTACAAAATATCTTCATGGAACATGATCTTTACTTAATATCCTAATGATTTTTGGCATAAAAGAGAAATGTATAATTTTGACCCATACAATGTATTGTTGGCTATTGCTACAAATATCCCCCAGCGACTCAACACTGCTTTTGAGCTGCAGGGTCACATTTATTACTATTAATGTTTGCTGATTTGGTAAATGCATTTGATCCTTGTTGCCCTTTCAGATGTGGAGATTCACTTTAGAAAGAACCCTGATGAGAAAAGAGGTCGCTGCCATCATTAAGGTTTGTGTGTGTGTGTACTTGAGTGTAACAGAAGGTGGCGCTGTAAGGACAAGATGGGATGTGTTTATCTTTATAGTCTTCTATTAATGTTTGCTGATTTGGTAAATGCATTTGATCCTTGTTGCCCTTTCAGATGTGGAGATTCACTTTAGAAAGAACCCTGATGAGAAAAGAGGTCGCTGCCATCATTAAGGTTTGTGTGTGTGTACTTGAGTGTAACAGAAGGTGGCGCTGTAAGGACAAGATGGGATGTGTTTATCTTTATAGTCTTGAAACTTTATGTAGCCATATGTAGACTTTAACCCTATAAAGCGACTGTATCATATTTGATCAATTTCTTAGGTCTCTAAATGATCCATGTCTTCTGTCTCTGATTGATAGTTTAAGTCAAAGCTCTTTTAGTGTAATTGTGTCCAGCTTTAGCTTCAGAGTTTGTGTGTGTGTGTGTGTGTGTGTGTGTGTGCATTAATCATGCATGTTAAGCAGTATATTATAATTCCGCTGCTGGTGCTGCTGTCGTCCTCAGATGTTTTTCTCTGTCATGTGACTACAGCTTCCTCCAGAGGACGTGAAGGACTTCCTGGAGCAGATGTCGGTCCCTCGATTAAACCGAGGCTGGGAGTTCCTGCTGCCCACAGATCATGATTTCATCAGAAAGCATCCTGATGTGGCTCAAAGGCAGCAGATGCTTTGGCTGGGCATTCAGTCTAAGTATGACATGACCTTTCAGAATCTGCTAAAAACCTTAAGAGTTTGTTGCCTTTAAAGAGATGTTTCACCCAAAAAATTCACATTTTATCATCATCTATTCATTCCACACCGTTCCAAATCCATGTTTTCTTTATTCTATGAAACACAAAAGCACTTTGTTAACCTGATAAGCACTGCTGCACTCTATGCAGGATTAGAATAACATGAGGCTGAGTGTATATGGGGAAATTTTCTTTTTTTTTGGTGAACTAATACTTCAGCTTTAGCTGAATAATTGAAGATATCGTACATAGTTCTTAATAGGGAGTGAGAATCTCATAGTGTTTCTAAATGAGCACTATATTACAGGTTGGAAAAAGTGTTTAACTTCTCCAAAGATGACTTTGTGGCTAAAAAGGATGCTCGGATGGGTATGTTTTGACTTATTTATGTACTATATATATATGTAACTATACACACTACTGTTCAGAAGTTTGGGGTCGGTAAGATTTTAAAATGTTTTTGGAAGAAGTCTCTTCTGCTCAGCAAGGCTGCATTTATTTGATCAGAAATGTTGTAAAAAAAAAAAAGTGAAATATTACGGTTTAAAACAGCTATTTTCTATGTGAATATCTGTTAAACTGTAATGTATTTCTGTGATGCGCAGCTGTATTTTCAGCATCATTCCTCCAGTCTTCAGTGTCACATGATCTTCAGAAATCAGTATAATATGCTGATTATTAGAAACATTTCTGATTATTATCAATGTTGAAAACACTTAATGTTTTTGTGGAAACTGATACATTTTATTTTTCAAGATTCACAGATGAATAGAAAGTACAAAAGAACAGCACTTTTGTAACATTAAAAATGTCTTTACTGATTTAATGCATCTCTGCAGGATGAGAATATTAGTTTCTTTCCCAAACTTTTGAACAGTGTTCGTTCTGTGTGTTCACGTCGTGTTGTGTTTGCTGCAGCGCCTGCTCACGTCAGCGGAGATCAGCGTCTGAAAGCGGCGAGGGAGAGCGCTAGAGAAAGCCACACCCTCATGCAGAGGGAGCTGGACGCTCGGAGACCGAAGGGGTCTACAAACACGGGCTCGTCCGGTGAATCTAGCACCCCGGTGCAGGTCAAACAGGAGCCCATGAGTGACTCTGAAGAGCCCATGGACACAAACGGCTCGATCAACGGTTACCCCAACTCTACCTCTCCGCTCTCGGACCCTCATAACGGACACGGTCATGCCTTCACCCCGGAGCTGCAGGAGTTCGTGCGGAGCACCTTCCGGAAGCACTATGTTTTGTGCCTGAGTGAAGTGAAGAGGCTGTTTAACCTGCATCTGGCCAGTTTACCCACGGGTCACTCGGTGTACGGTCACGTGACGGACCGCATGCTCCAGGACACCATCCTCCAGAGCCAGTGCAAGCAGATCCTGGTGCCTGTAAGTACTGTGTCAGATCATGAGGATGCTGGGCGATTTTAATGCACCGCATTGTTTTGTTTTAAACTGATTCAACATATGCATCTGTGGGGCCCTGTGACTTCATAAAAACGGAATTTACTCTATAACACGGAATGTCACGGAATTTGTCAAAGTTTGGAACTTTGCTGAAAAACTAAATTAGAATTTTGTACTTAAATATTATCAAAATTCAAATTATATTAGAATTTAAAATGCATAATTTCCATTTAGGGTGAAGAAAAGCTTCTGAGGCCACAAGAGGGCGCATCGAGCAAAATATTACTAATGCACGTTTATTCAAAGCATAAGATAACATGACTATCTGTGAAAAAAGTGCATAATGTTTAAAATAATGTTTATAAACCAATTATAATTAAGTTGCTTAAACAACTATAAACAAAACAGCATCATGTATGTATTCATAGTTTAATACAGAGGCCAATCACACAGTACATTTTTCATTTAAAAACACAAGTTGAGTAAAAAACCCACCATAAAGTCTCAATATATGTTTTTTTTTTAAAGTTAAAATTGCATCAATTTTACATGGCTTTCTAAACATGCTCTTTTGTGCGAGACACGAGTGCAGCGGTGATAGATGTCCCTCTAGAAAATGCGCGAAATATGCATTCTGTGTGAACGGCTTGGTTTCGGTTTTGACGTAAACAAGATCTTCTCCGCATTGATGTTCTCTTTTTCTGCAATATTTTGAATGAACAACGCAGCAGCGCCGCATCTAGTGGCTTCAACTGGACAGGCTAACAAAAACATTAAAATGCAACGACACTTACATCGTCATCGCGTCTCGTGCGCCACTGATAAGGCTACCTCCTTAACGCACACCTAAAATTCAAATGCAAAGTTTTTGCATTCGAATGTGGATTTTTATTTTAAATTCGACGAATATTTGAAATTCTAATTTATTTTTTTGACAGCCCTGGTTTGGATGAATAAATCAAAAGTAGGTCATTCCACGTAAATCAAATCGTGATATGGACTAGTATCTGTAAATATTAGGCAGCAAAAAGACTATTTAAATATGAATCCTGCATGCCTCACTAAATTTGGACACAAATGCATGAACAACATCTCCAGAACTTCCCGTCTCATTTGAGAGAAACTATCGTTGTATCATACAGCCCTCATAGCATAACAGAAGTGATTGTATCTGTCTCACACGTGTCCCGCATTTTCCCTCAAAATCACATCTACTGTTCTGCAACAGATCTATTGCCAGGTGGTCACCCTACGTCTGCGCACAAGTGAACTGTTTTATGTCCGTTAGTTTCTGGCTTTAATTGTCTTGTATGTCTGCCCTTCTCATTGAGGTAATGTGTTTGAGTTTAAGATGTGGTCTGGTCTTTTCTTCTTAAGGCTAATTGGAGTGTGTGTGTGTGTGTGTGTGTTGCTGGTAAACAGTTCTTATGTAACTGTTGTGTTTTATAACATTCATTCATGTGCACCCACATGACGACACACAGAAAGGGCAGCAACATGTCTAACAAATACATACAATAGTACAAAAGTAATTGTCTTAATGCTAGCATTAGATGGTGCATTGGCTGTTTCTGAGCTCGTTGTATGTTTGTGTGTGTAGTTTCCTCCTCAGAGCAATGCAGCGGCAGACGAGCAGAAGGTCTTCGGCCTGTGGGAGAGCGGAGAAACCTTCGACAAGGTGATTTCTGGGAGCTGCAGCCTGATTTATTGTGATTTTGAGGAGGGATGCACAGTGTTGGATTTTTGCTGATATCCGATTTGCAGAGACCGATATATTTCCTTTTGTTTGGCATCTGACCTTCCATCAAAACATAATTGTGATTTTATGACATCAATTACTGCTTTATTTAATCAAACACATATCAGCGTAATTTTTTTCAAACCGGCCGATGTTTACTTTTTAAGCCTTTATAGGCCGCTTCCGATAATATAGTCTGTGTCTGTGATGCACGATATTATCGGAATTTATGGAAATTACCGGAATTTACTGATATTACGATATTATTAGAATTTACCGATATTGTCGGAACCGGCTGATGTTTACATTTTAAGCCTTTATCGGCTAGTTCCTATAATATCGTGCATCCCTAATTTTGAGTCTGTGATGCACAATATTATCAGAGTTTACCGATATTACGATATTATTAGAATTTACCGATATTATTGGAACCGGCTGTAGCGAATCAGCTCATGGGGAAATATGAATAATTAACCAATCGGATGAGAACAAAATATGAATTGATCTGAGTAATGCCCTTGTTGCAGTTATGCAATTAAATACAAAATAATGCTAATTATTTAGTTAATATGGGGTTTGGTTGGGTTTAGGGATAGTTGGATATAATTATGCATAACTCACTGTAACAAGGACATTTAGCGAAAATTAAAATGGCAAGACTTGACTTTTTTTATTTTTAGTTTATTTTACATAAAGAAATTAAGCAGTATATACTAAATAGCATATTTACATATTGGTTATTGGATGAGAACAAAATATGAATTGATCTGAGTAATGATGCTTTTGTCTTCTCTACAGCTGAAATGTTGTTAATGTGAAGCTGCTTTGAAACAACCTGCATTGTATAAAGAAAATTAGGTGACGCTTTATATTAAGGAGCCCTTGTTGCAGTTATGCAATTAAATACAAAATAATGCTAATTATTTAGTTAATATGGGGTTTGGTTGGGTTTAGGGATAGTTGGATATAATTATGCATAACTCACTGTAACAAGGACATTTAGCGAAAATTAAAATTGCAAGACTTGACTTTTTTTATTTTTAGTTTATTTTACATCATAAAGAAATTAAGCAGTATATACTAAATAGCATATTTACATATTGCACTGAATTTACAAGGTTAATACAAAACCGACACTCAAACTGAGGAACACTTGAGCTCCGTTAAATGCCCAAAAATTACGTCAAATTATCAGGTACTTTATTTTTATGACTGATTTTTCAAGAAAATATTTCATATAGTATTAAAGAAATACAATAATAATAATAAAAACAATAGTACAAGGGGTATCAATTCTGTTTTTGAGGTTAATACTTTACATATAATCACTGATTATTGATTACAGTACTTAATTGATATTTTTCACAATATGCTAGAAATGGTCTCAAAATGGGTCAATTCTTCCAAAGTGTATTTCAGTCTCTACCCAGTGTCTAAGTAAGCAGATGTGCTGCTTATAATACATTATGCCTTTTTAATTGTTCCATTTTAGTGTCATCTCCGATATAATGTCTGAAGTCTGAAGCTGTCAGCCTGATAAATACATGATGTCACTCAAATCTTATCAGGGGCTTTGATTAGAAGCAGACTTTCCACCGGGACTGAAGACCATGTTCTCTGACGACCACAATCTGGGTCGAAAGTCCATTTATATGCAGAAGAAAGTTGAAAGATGAACAGCTGAAAGTTCACACGATAAAAGACACTTACTTGCCCTGTCGTGGAGTTATGAATGAGTGATACTAACATGACCTGACAACGAGGTGAAGACTGAAATAAAAGCTTGACATCTTCAAGATAATGCGTTTCCTTTAACAGATGCAACAAATGCACGGACCAGTTATGACTAAAGCATACCAGACTTCATTTTACAAAGCTGTTGTAAATACATAAATATAAATCTCAATATTCACAAGAAAATAGTCTGATAACTGCATTTCATTATTTTCACTCTTTCACATTACTGTAATGCAGACAAAATATGATATTTACGTTTACATTTACATTTAGTCATTTAGCAGATGCTTTTATCCAAAGCGAGGACAACAGAAGCGATCAAAACTATCAAGAGAGTCTCAGCTTAAAGCCGCAGTACACATAGCAAGGTTTTTTTAAATCATATAATAAATGAAAAGAAAACGGATAGAATACAAAAAGATTAGAAAGCAAGTGTTAGTTGTTTTTTTAAAGCAGCAAAGGAATAGAGTGCAAGTCTAAAAGGGACAAGTGTTTTTTTTTAAAGAATAGAATTAGAATAGAGTGCTATAGAGTTAGAGGGTAATAATACATTAATATATGTATAAATGATATACTTAAATAGTAAACCATCTGTGCATGTCTGTGTTCATCTAATGTTTTGCCTTTACTTTACAGTGATTTTAATTGCTTTAATTGTTTCTGGGCAGAATGATTTACTGAGTAAAACATCTGTAAACATTACAGCATCACAGCAACCCAATTTTATTATATTGTTCTTCTTCACAGATCATTAGTTAATGTTCATTAAAATAGTTTGGCTTTAAAAAGGCTTTACTGTATTTTTATTTATTGTATTGATTTATACTAATATATATATTTTTTTTCTACTGATTATGTGGTAATATATAACCTGGAAATGTCTTTGTTGATTCATCCCACTATACTGTAAATACACAAAGATTTCCAGTACATTTAAGTTCACAGCTTTTTGTTTCACAGTGACATTTGGAAGAATTTACAAAAGTGCTTTATATACGCTCACCAGACAATAAAAGTGGCAATAAAAGCAGACCGTAATGTGTGGTATCACACCATCCTAGTTCTGTCAGTATAATCCCTCAGTTCAGATATAGATGCAGATCAGTGCCTCATTCAGCCTGACTGGGCTTGATCCTGTTCTCCTTCAGGTCCTTTTTGCTCTTTTGGATAAAGCTGAAAATCTCCTGAAACAGGGCCTTGTACTCGGGCTGCTGGGAATCGTTCTGGGTGTTTGTGTGCGTTTGAGCAGTTTTTTGGTTCTCGGGCAACTTCCCATCCTGGCAGCGGCGCAGCAGCGTGTCGTATTTCTCCTGCAGGGCGGCGTATTGAGCATCCATCTCGTTCAGCAGAGAGATCCCATGATGCTGCCCTTCAGGCTGCTCGTTGCTTAGCAACTGCCTCTCGCTGCTGCAGCACCGCAGGCTCCGCCCCCTGTGTCCGGCCCCGCCCGCTTCATCATCCAATGGGATGTCCACGTTGTCTTTGCTCGAGCGCAAAAGCAGGCGGAGCTCCTGCACTTCAGCCTCCGTCTCGGCCAGGCGCTCCTTGTAGACTCCCAGCAGCGCTTCTCTGGGCTCCAGCTGGATGAGTTCATGCGCCAGAGCATCAGCTTCCAGCTCGGCCGCCTCTCTCTGAGAGCGCTCTGTGCTCAGCTGCGCCTGCAGGGAATCAACCGAGCGCTCGAGCTCCCAGAGCTTGTCCTGTTCCTCACGCTTCAGAGACGAGCGGCTGGTGGAAACAGAGTGCTTATGGGAAAAGCACCTGAAATACATGCAGCATGGTGAGAAGAAATCAGAGCCCTTAGTCAGATAACTGAGGATCGAATATATGAGAATCATAATGGTATAAATTCATTCAAAAGATTGCATTTGACTGAAATCTGGAGTTGTATAGACTAAAATATTTGGTAAAACATTTACTTTTTCTGAGATCAACCAAACCAGACTTTAAAGTCGACGTGAAATGCAGTTTGCAGCCTATTTTAGCGTATTTCAGAATGAAACACGATATTCGATGAGAAAAACTGAAGGATAGGACCTAAAGTAAAGTGTTAGATATAAAGTGGCAATTACAAAAAATGAAGTCGTAATTGCTAGATATAAAGTTGCAGTTGCAAACAATAAAGTCGCAATTGTTAGATATAAAGTCGCAATTATGAGATAGTTTTAATTGTTCTATATTAAGTTGCAGGTATGAGCAATAAAGTTGCAATTGTGAGCAATGAAGTCACAATTGTTAGATATAAAGCTACAGTATAATGTTACCACTTTGAGAAATAAAGTCATACTTCTGAGATATCAATTTTGCAAATATAAGAAATAAAGTTGGAATTGCAAGAAGTCAGCATTGTGAGAAATAACGCTGCAAATGTACATGCAACTTAATATATAGCATATTTTCCTTTTCTTGCGTCATACAACCCTGCCCGCGTGAACTCCAGCAGATTACGCCGAGTCAGGCAGGAATATAAATGTGTGGGAAGGAAGTTCTGCTAAGCCTGAAACCTAAGAATGAGAAGCAGCTAATTTGTTTCTTTGCTAATCCACTTGACCGTGACCGTTTAAAGGCCACTCGTTTCACGGACTCGACCTACTGTAGCACAAAACACAGTGGCGGGTTAAAATGCACAAAAATGTGTTGCAAAAACCTACTCGTGTAACTGACAGGTCTCCTTCTTCTGCATGTCTCTCTGGAGCTCCTCCACCTGAGTCTGCAGCCCTTCCACCGTCTCTGTGAGCCTGCGATCAGGAGAAACGCAATTGAAAGTATTCCATCCTTCGCTTGACGCATTCATTTACAATCATTTCTGAAGTCTTACCCTTCGATCTTCAGCTGAGCCGCTCTGTTCTCCAGCACCAGTCGTTGGTTTTTCAGCTCCAGGTCTTGTGCGGTTAAATCCAGCTGCTCGTAGACTTTAGCATGCTGATCGTTCACTGACCTCAGCAAATCCACCTGTTTAGAAAGATACTGAACAAAGAGAAAGAAACATTAAACTACAATCAAACGGGTTCAGATACCTGAGCTTTAACTGCATCAGCTTAAGGACAATTTAAAGGCTTTTCCTCAGTTATTCTTAGCAAAATGCAAATCAAATATGACCATGGAGCACAAAACCAGTCATAAGGGTACATTTTTTGAAATTGGGATGTATACACATCCCACATATCTCAAAGCTGAATAAATCAGCTTTCCATTGATGTATGGTTTGTTAGGATCGGACAATATTTGGCTGAGATACAACTATTTGAAAATCTGGAATCTGAGGGTGCACTGCTTTTGTGCTGCAGGGACACAAATAAGTTTTATTGCCTTTTAAGATAAGACAAAGATTTATACAACCATAAAATCACTTGATAATGCAGAAGATGTAGCTAGAGGAACTGTGTCATTAAAAGACTGCTTTTCTGTGAAAAGGTCATTAACTCAAAACAGAGAGTTTGGTCAGAAATAGATCGATCGATCACTTGATAGCAGTACCTCGATCTCCTGTATCTGTTCCTGGTTGCTGATGTACATCTGTTGGAGTGTCTCTTCTAAGTCTCTGTTCTGCTCCAATAAATTTTTACCCAATTCGGCGGCCAAATGAAGATCTGCATGAAGAGAAGGACGCATCTAATGAGTAACCAAAACTGAAATTGTTAGATTTATGCATATCAGTATTTGTAAATCTGGTTGATGGTGCAATCATTTGGACATCAGGTTATCTCTGTCACTAGGAGTGTTTAGTTACTTCTCCTTCTTCTTCACCTAAGGTCACAACTCAGGAACTGATTATCGCATCAGTTCATTACAAAGCTGATTTCACTCTCTCTTGTCAAACAGACTGTCATGTCATCCTGTCAGGACTAAACACACTTCCTTCAATCATCATCAGCAAAATACATTCGATGAAGACTACGATTAAATGGAGACTGAATGAAGGTGCATTCTTAATCTCCGTATTGTTAACAAAATAAGCCATTCTAGAGTTCTTCTTCCACATTTTCATTTAAAAAGTATTATTGCCTGAACTTTTACAGTCCGTCAGATAAAGAATAACTCACCATGTTCCAGATCTTGATGATCATACCATGGTTCTTCCTCTTTGATATCAAATTCTCCTTCTGTAATGTCTGTGAGCATCTTTAGTCAGTCAAGCAGAACAGCTGAGGAGCCTTTAGTTTTTATGCTAAACTCTAATGAAATTGTTGTTCAGATAATCTCCAGTCAGCAAATGTATAGTATCTATTTCTTTTTCCTTTTCAAATTGTTGAACATTCTTTCACTAAGACGTAGCCTGTGTGTCTGTGCATGATGATCTGGATCTGAACGGAGTGTTCTTGTCTCTTCAGCCGCGTGTGCACTCTGGTTATCTGCAGACTGAACAGAGTAACCTACATACAATCTCTGAAGACCTTTGTGTGTGTGTGTGAGAGAGAGAGAGAGAGAGAGAGAGAGAGCGAGAGTGTGTGTGTGTGTGTGTGAGAGAGAGAGAGCGAGAGTGTGTGTGTGTGTGTGTGAGAGAGAGAGAGCGAGAGTGTGTGTGTGTGTGTGTGAGAGAGAGAGAGCGAGAGTGTGTGTGTGTGTGTGTGAGAGAGAGAGAGCGAGAGTGTGTGTGTGTGTGTGTGAGAGAGAGAGAGCGAGAGTGTGTGTGTGTGTGTGTGAGAGAGAGAGAGCGAGAGTGTGTGTGTGTGTGTGTGAGAGAGAGAGAGCGAGAGTGTGTGTGTGTGTGTGTGAGAGAGAGAGAGCGAGAGTGTGTGTGTGTGTGTGTGAGAGAGAGAGAGCGAGAGTGTGTGTGTGTGTGTGTGAGAGAGAGAGAGCGAGAGTGTGTGTGTGTGTGTGTGAGAGAGAGAGAGCGAGAGTGTGTGTGTGTGTGTGTGAGAGAGAGAGAGCGAGAGTGTGTGTGTGTGTGTGTGAGAGAGAGAGAGCGAGAGTGTGTGTGTGTGTGTGTGAGAGAGAGAGAGCGAGAGTGTGTGTGTGTGTGTGTGAGAGAGAGAGAGCGAGAGTGTGTGTGTGTGTGTGTGAGAGAGAGAGAGCGAGAGTGTGTGTGTGTGTGTGTGAGAGAGAGAGAGCGAGAGTGTGTGTGTGTGTGTGTGAGAGAGAGAGAGCGAGAGTGTGTGTGTGTGTGTGTGAGAGAGAGAGAGCGAGAGTGTGTGTGTGTGTGTGTGAGAGAGAGAGAGCGAGAGTGTGTGTGTGTGTGTGTGAGAGAGAGAGAGCGAGAGTGTGTGTGTGTGTGTGTGAGAGAGAGAGAGCGAGAGTGTGTGTGTGTGTGTGTGAGAGAGAGAGAGCGAGAGTGTGTGTGTGTGTGTGTGAGAGAGAGAGAGCGAGAGTGTGTGTGTGTGTGTGTGAGAGAGAGAGAGCGAGAGTGTGTGTGTGTGTGTGTGAGAGAGAGAGAGCGAGAGTGTGTGTGTGTGTGTGTGAGAGAGAGAGAGCGAGAGTGTGTGTGTGTGTGTGTGAGAGAGAGAGAGCGAGAGTGTGTGTGTGTGTGTGTGAGAGAGAGAGAGCGAGAGTGTGTGTGTGTGTGTGTGAGAGAGAGAGAGCGAGAGTGTGTGTGTGTGTGTGTGAGAGAGAGAGTGTGTGTGTGTGTGTGTGTGTGTGAGAGACAGAGAGAGAGAGAGGGAGGACCAAATGTGATCATGAAACTGACTAGTGAGGACATTTTAAATCATGTTTCACACATTAGAGCAGATATCCTGTAAATCCCAAGAGCCTCCGACATGCGCCGCCTGGTGGTAACACCGGATATGACCGGTCACGTGCTCTGTCGGGCTCTTTTACATGTAACACAGTCAGGAAGTTAACTTTTCTTTAAAAAAAAAATCAGTTTTCTTACTTAAACTAGCTGAATAATGCAAGTTAACTTTATTTAATTATTTCATATAACTGAAATCATTTGAATGATTCAATGATAATTGTGCAGCCCTAATTAAACCATGTTTTTTGTTACTTGTTAATGCAGTATGCTCAAACATTCACCGTGGTAGCACCATGGTATTCTTTGAAGCCCAGTGGAACACCATGTAAATACTATGCTACACAAATACAATTTTCACGACCATTACCATAATGTATAATACAATCCCATGGTATTGGAACCATCACTGTTGTGCTCGCATTGACACAAAGTACCATGGTATTACCATAGTTTTTGGACATGGTATTGTACTCTGTACATTTTACATTAGTATTATTTAAAATATAAATCTAATTGTAAATATAATAACATAGATTGGTGATTACCATAGTGTATAACAAAATACCACGGTATTATCATCTGAAACTATCACTCTTGTGGTTGCATTCACAATAACAGCAAAGAACCCTCAAACTTTCTAGGACACATCTTTACAGAAACAGAAAAAACAAACCTGGAGGAAAAGAAACCGAGACGGCAGAAACTCGAAGTAGGCGGGGCTTTAGTAAAAACTCTCGTGTCGTCACGTGTCACTTGTTACTTTTCTCTGCATTGTTCCGAGCGGACCAATCAGAGTCTTCTGCTTCATGCTTTTACTTTATATAACTTTATTACGCGGATTGGCATTTAGCATTCAAATGCTTGCGATCATGTAAATGTCTATATTTTATCACTTATATGTTTAGTAAACAAAAACAGCATTCTTCCATCTTAGAAATGGTGAACTTGACTTGACTTGACTATATAACCAAGACCAAAAGAGTCGCCTCGGTGTCCGGGGCCTCCGCGCGCCCCCTACAGGAAAAACACCGTGTTTGCAAACAATTAATTTCTCGTCCAGCGGTGTTCACCGGCATCACCGTGGCCACGTCGCGCGGCTCTCGCCATCTTTCACAATCAGTCGGGAACACAGCAGCCGTCTCTACTGCGCCGCTTCTACAAGCCATTCTCCAGAGCCACAGAAGCATGAACATATTCAGACTGACGGGGGATCTCTCCCATTTAGCAGCTATCATCATCCTCCTGCTGAAGATCTGGAAAACCAGGTCGTGTGCAGGTGAGTAACGCGCAGTGTGCACTATTTAGGACTGTTTGGTGAAAGTATGTTTGTGTGATTTGATTATATGCCAGCTGATCCGCTCGTTTGCCTTATGAACTCTTGCACTACGCCTCATCTGAGTGGAGTAGGCAAGTGTTGGTGTTTTAATGTTTGAATGCACGGTTGTTATGTGAGTTGCATTGCTCCAGTGAACTAGAGAGTGAGTTGCATGGCATATGCATCAAAAGCAATAGCGAGTTGAACCAAATGAATGTTGTTAAACCTGTTTAACTTCGGAGTTTTGCTCTATGTTGGTTATCAGGCTGTAGATAACATTCTTTGGTTCTGATTGCATGCTGTGCCCTCTGACGTGGCAGCAGGATCTCATTAGAATATAGTTGGTTTCACACTGACAGATCTCTGGGTTTGTTTTAATGTGTGATCTTGTTGTACAAGAACTGTTTGCTTGTGCATGCTACACTGGGTATTATTGATGCCAATGGCATATAAAGCGAGCTGAAAGCTTGAAATGGGGTTCAGTTTGAGGGAAGGAGACAGAATTGTGTTGAAATGCATGTTGTTGCTGTTTTTCAGGAATCTCTGGGAAGAGTCAGATTCTGTTTGCCTTGGTGTTCACCAGCCGCTATCTGGACCTTCTCACTGCCTTCATTTCCTTCTACAACAGCAGCATGAAGGTGAAGTTGAGCTGATTAAAGTTCAAAGCATGCACACATCCACAAACCCACCAGACCCGTCATATTACATATGTTGAGGCAAAACATTACAGACTGAATGCTGTGCTATAACAGACACCTTGTAGAAAACGAATGGGAGAAATCCGTTAAAAGACCATCAGAGTGTGTTTACTGTAGAATATGGATGTGCATGAACTCCACCGGCCTGAAAAACACTATTTTCTTTTTTTGTTAAAAGACATACACCGAGGAAACAAGTGTAATTTGATTTATATATATATATATATATATATATATATATATATATATATATATTTTGTATTATTAGATGGGTTGTCATGATGTCAGACAATATTCATCTAAAATATACACCATTTTTATATAAAATAATTAAAACAATACAAATATTATTAAAAAATGCATAATATTTTCTATTAACAGCTTCGTTACATGTGTTAAAAACAGTGACATTTTTACAAATCCAATGCATGGCGCGCGTGTGTGTGTGTGAGTGTGAGTGTGTGTGTGTGAGTGTGTGTGCCACGTATGATGGCAACCACGACACGTTCAGGGTGGAGTTCCTGGTCGTTCCCATCGGCGGTCTGGCCTTCCTCGTCAACCATGACTTCTCTCCTTTAGAGGTTAGAGAGCAAATCCATACTTGCATTTAGGAATTCATATCTCTGTATTTTTTGGCCGATTTGCGGTATATACCTTGGTGTTTTTGTAGTTGGATTTTAAAAATCTGTATTTAATATATATATATTTCACTTCCCACCCAATGTTTCCAACAAAACAATACATATTAAAGGCTATGAAAGCAAATAAAGTGAATGTAACCATGTAAGCTTTTATATCATGTGCAAAAAAGGGTTAAAATCACATTTCATTCTAACATTGTAACATTGCAATCTAAAAACTAAAATAAGGCTTTTACATCTGAAGTTAAATTCACTAAACTAAAAATGAAAATAAAAGAACAACAGCACAGAGTTGTGTTATTACAGTCACTTTACAGTCAGTGCTATCATAAAAATAGACTTACTTGTAAGTTTAAAACTCTACACGTCACATTTATTGTCCAACTACAAATGAAGAGTTCATTTGCAAAAACCGATAACTCAGAAATCACGTTTTTTTTATTGTGCGTTCCAAGTAATATCAATCAAACTGCAGTTGGGTTGTTTTGACTAAGTAATAATAACGTAAACAAATACAGGTAATTTACAAAATTAAAGTTCTTTGAAAGTATGTTTTTTGTACATATTAAACGTTTGTTTTATAGCAAAAGCAGATAACTCCACATTTCATGTTTTAGAGTTTAAAACACCCTGGTTGAATCTTTGTAATCTCCTCAGATGAGAATGTAGACGCCTGACAAACGTTGTTGTTGTTGTGATCATAAACTGTATGGATGTGATTACACGCAGCTTTTCCCTCACTATTGTAAAGCGCTGCTTTTGCGAGCTTCCGTGAAAACATTTTTTTTCTCCCTGAAGAAGATATCACAGCTTCATCAAGTTCGTCGAAATGATCCTGGATCACTTTTAGTCAGCTTTGACGAGACTCCTCTCAGCTAGCACGTCTTTTCAGAGTGAAAGTAGCCTTGTCACCTGACCTGAATGCAGCGCGCTGATTCGCTGAAATGGATTTA